TAGTAAGGATCCGAGAGAAAAAGTATATCACAAATTAATGAGAGAAGTTTTTAATATAAAGATACTTTATGAAGCGTCGAAATAAGATGGGCATATGACCCAAGTGGATTTTTATAAAAATAGAATAGAAAAATGCATACTTGAATTTCTTTCTCATATAGGAGGGGATAAAAAAGAATGGTTATCTCGTGGTGCGGTTAAAGCATTGCGTCTATTAACAACCTCACAAAAAATATTGGATTTACTTGATATGGCTAAGCATAAAGGACTCGAAATTCCAGGTCGAATTATCATCTAATTATTCTGGTCATATAGATTAGCCACTTTGTAACTGCGAAGCAATAATACTTATTTTTTTTTTACTTGATTTTACATGCTAAGTCTTTTTATAGGTCACAAAAATCCCTAGTATAGATAATAGATCGAGTTCATTATTTTTACATCACTCTTATTTCAATCGCGTCTGGATACGGACAGCTTCTCAATAATATAAGAAGTGGCAGATAGATGTATTATATTAATGTGTCAATAAATACTGAAAAAAATAAATATTATATGTATCATTGTTTATTTTACCAATCTATATCTAGTGTCAGTTTTTGCTTAATAGGAAGTAGACTGATTTATCAGAGATAAACGGGTATTTCTTTACATTGAGAACTGACAAATTGGAACAATGGTATGCAATTTCTTATATCATTTTATCAGTGATATAAATACAGATAGGTACACCCAACCAAGCTAAAAAATGTCTTGCATATCTGAAATTACGCTCTGGTTAGGTAGAACGTTTATTATCTTTTAATACCTCGATTTCCTTTTCTAGATCAAGAGGGGTGTCCCATCGAAGTGAGAAAGACTCAGATCTCGGTTTATTCAGATCTATAACTATAAATTCTTTCTGTCTCAAATATCTATCAATAATTTTTGACACTTTGCGTAGATCAATATCAGTATAAGGGCTTATAATATCTGCGAGTTTTCGAATAGAGCCCCCACCATTAAAGAGAACAATGTGAGTAGCGTTTTCACGAATATCTATAGGGATTTTGTGAAATTTTTGAGTGACATAAATTGAGGAAATATTCTCATGACGACCTCGGGTGAAAAATGGAATAATTTTTTTCTGTATAGCTGGAAGGTCAGAGTAAAGATCTTCAAATATCGCTAATGTACTTCTTTTAGCATTAAACTTTTTGGGATCTGGAATTTTATCAGGAGAGAGTGTAGAAAATATGACATCTTCATAATAGGGCTTTGATTTGTCTTGGGCAAGATATTTATAAAAATCTCGAACTATTTTATATTTTGGC